TTAGAATGATGTGGAACCTTTAGCCCAGCAGTTCCTCATCGTGTAGTGACCCCCCCCCAACCATAACATTATTCCGTTGCTACTTCATAAGTTTGCTACTGTGATGAATCGTAATGTAAATATCTGATATGCAGGATATCGGATATTCAACACCAAGGGGTGATGACCCACAGGTTGAGAACCGCCGCTTTAAAAGGCAGCGCTTTGCGGATGGCAGTGAGTCCCCAAAGGGCGAGCCTTGCACTTTGATATCTGCTCTCTGCTTCCTGACGGCGGACTGAACATGACCAGTTGCCTTATGTTTCTGTCACCACACTTTCCCATCCTGATGGGCTGTGACTCTTTTGTTTGTTTGTTTGTTTTTGTTTTTGAGACAGGGGCCTCACTATGTAACTCTGGCTAGCCTGGAACTCATCAGAGATCCACCTGCCTTCTGTCTCCTCAGTGTTAGAAATAAAGCCACGTGCCGCCATGCCTGACCTGTGCTCCTTTTTAAATCGTAAGCCAAAATGAATCCTTGCATCTAAGGAGGGCTGGCTGGGAGGGGCTGGAGGGAGAAAGGGAGGTGGGGGAGAATGATGTGATACTATTTCAATTTTTTAAGTGGAAAAAGTACAAAATAAATAAGGAAGAATAAAAACAAAACAAAACAACAACAAAGAAAACCCTTTTTTAAAGTAGTTTCCAACAGCATTCAGTCCCAACAAAGGGAAAAGCAATAAATCTTACAATCTGCCCTATGCTACTGACACTTTAGTTCATCGGTGTCTTCAAAAGTGTCACCCTTGGTGATCCTCACAACCACCTACTAAGGCAGGAATTGTTGCCTTACAATGGTCAGTTTGGGTTAAAATGTTTACATTTGTATCCAAAGTAAAGCAGAACAGAGAGGGAGACAACCTGCCTCCAACTCCAAAGCATGGATTTTCTTCTCCATCAAAATATCTGCCAATAAAATATAAGAGGCTGGTATCACCAGTGGTCCACCCAGCATCCATTAGTACCTTCCCCCATGAAAGCAGAGCCTTGTGGTCGGCACAGGGGTCATCCCAGGCAAGGAAAATGATGGCTTTCCCACTTCTCTCCATCCAGCCTCCCTTGCAGCTAGAACGTGTGATCCTACTATGGCCAAGGAAACATAACTGAACATTGCTGTTGAGAAGGAAGGTTACCATGGGAAAGCCTTTGTTTCCCAAAGCCAAAAATATGAAGCTTCCATCTCTCCACACTTGCAGAGTCCTCCTCTTTCCTGCCTAGAATGCAGATGTGACAGCTGGAGCAATGGAAGCCATCTTGGAACTATCACCAAAAAAAAAAAAAAAAAAAGGCCATCAGAACTTCCTGAACGTTTGGCCTTCATTGACACTTTGCAGGGATGTAAACCTCTCTTCCCTACCCAAGAAGCATGCTTTGTGAAGGCCAAGTTCACGTGGAGTGTTTTTGTTTCTTGAGGCGTACACACTAGCTATCATCCATGTCTTCAGGATGCTCCACTCACTCTCTTAGTGCCTGTGAGCAGGGAGCTGTGGCCATTAAGTGGCAGAAACAACCGGGAACTTGTCTCTCAACATGCGATGCCTTGAGCCACCTCGGAACTCTGCCCGAAAGACGAATGCCATCAGATGCAGCCCATCGACCTTGACCAGAGCGTGAGCCAAATAAATACACATCTGGCCTGGCAAGATGACAGTGGGTAAAGACACCTGCCTTGGAAACCCGAGGACCTGAGTTCAATTCCTGGAACCCAAAGTACTCACTTGTGTACTCACTGGCACATGGAACGAAAATTCGAGATGAATTTTAAAACAAAAATAAATAGCTGGAACACACATTTATGTGCTAATGGATTAGGACTTTTGTTGTGTTTTTTTCTTGTTGTTGCTATTTGTTTTGTTTTGTTTGTTTGTTTGTTTTTGTGTTTTTCAGAGGTGGAGGCTGAGCAGGACGCATTGGGTAAGATCTCCACCACTGAGCTACAACCCGGCCCTCTTTTTCTTCTTAATTTGGAGACACAGTCTCACTATGTGGCCCAGGCTAGCCTTGGACTCACCCTCCTCGAGTCTCAGCTTCCCAGGTACTAGGGTTACGGGTGTGCACCACCATGTCCAGCTTGGATAAGTAATTCATAAAGTAACCTTATCAAAACCTGAATCAGAAACCTGGGGGTTGGGGATATAGTCAGCGGTTAGAGCCCTTGCTAGCATTCACAAGGTCCCGGGTTCAATTCCCAGCACCACCAAAGAAAACTTACGCACGGAAGCACACTGTCTGCTTACTAAATGCAGATTCCTGGGCCCTCTCTCCACTTTGAGCTAAATTAGAATGTGGCCATTAGATGCTGGGCATCCACGCTTTAGCCAGCACCCCCATGAGGCTTTCATAGCTGTTAGGGTAGAAAACTCGGTGAATGCAAATTCTAGCGGGGCCACACCTTCCCTGGTACTCCTCCCCTACCCCCTTGGTCTTAGAGAACTAGAAAGTCAAAATTGGCATAGTTGCTCCAGAACAGTCACTGGACAATATGGATCAAGTGGTTGGTGTGTCCTGTGGTACCCTCAGAAAAAGATGTATTCCCTATTTGCGCTGGCTAGTCTTACATCAACTTGACACAAACTTAAGTAATCTGAAAGGAAGGAACCTCAACTGAGAAAAACGCTTCCATTATATCCACCGGTAGGCCATTTTCTTAATAAGTGATCAATGGGGGAGGGCCCAGCCTGTTATGGGTGATACTATCCCTGGGCTGGTGGTCCTGGGTTCTTTAAGAAAGCGGACTGAGCAAGCCAGTAAGCAGCTCCCCTCCGTGGCCTCTGCATCAGCTCCTGCCTCCAGGATCCTGCCCTGCTTGAGTCCCTGTCTTGACTTCCTTCAATGATGGACTATAATATGGAAGGATAAGCCAGAAAAAAAACCCTTTCCTCCCCAACTTGCTTTGGTCGAGGTGTTTCCACCACAGCAACAGGAACCCTGACTAAGACACCTATGATTCCAACTTCTTGACCAGCATGCCAGGACTTCTGCCCCCGCCCCGTTTGAAAATGTAAACCCCCTTGCAGAGAGACCACACAGAACCAAGTGCCACAGTTGCTCTGTGTGTTTGCACAGTGCTGGGGATTGAGCCCTGGGGTCTTGTGCACGCTACAAAAGCGCTGGACCACTGAGCTACCCTCCCCAGCCACAGTGCACCCGGCCGTGTCAATCGCCATCTCTTGGGAGTCCTCAGAAGATGGCACAGAAGGAAACATCTGAGAAGCGTAAGCTGTAATAGTCACAGCCTAGCATGGAGGCTCTTGGTGACAGAGGGAAGAAGAGACGTGGTAGTGGCGGCCTTCAGGGGTTGTCTGTGTACGCTGTCCTGGTTAGAGTTCCGAACCAAATCTGTTGTGGGCCCTGTGTAGAGACCGGGGCTGGACTAACACATCCCACACTTTTCCTTCCAGCAGCAAACGTTAGCCAAGCGCTCTCTCTCTCTCTCTCTCTCTCAACTCTGAGGAAGGCAATGCCTGTGCCTCCCAACACTCTTCCCACATTAACATTTATCTTATTTCATCCCTGGGATCCTGTTACCACCTGACAGGTGAGCAGAGGCATATATCCGAGGATGGCAGACGAGGTATTAAAATATACACACACGAACTCCTATTTCCAAATGATAGCCAGCCTCCCGCATCCTGACTATCTGGCTACATTTAAAACCACACAGGGAAAATAAAAGGCCTGAAAGTGAATCAGAGAGGCACATTCAAGCAGATGACCCGGTCAGCCAAGACTGAAGACTTCAGGCTTCAGGAACTCACAAGCCAAAGACCAGCCCAACTACCAAGCTCCATGACACATGGCCGTGCCACCAAAAGGGGAACCTTCCTTTGCTCTGAGCTCCACACACCACCCCCCTGGCAAATGCCAACTAGTGGGAATTCCCAAATTAAATCAAGCAATGTGGACAGCTGGGCCATTTTGTGGGAAGGAAGGTGAGGGGGCTGGATCCATCTGACATTTTGAACAAGGTGGATGCCCAAGGATTTCAGAACACCAGGCCTTTCCCAAAACCCTGAAAGCTTCCTCTGAGAAAATGGCCTTTGAAGGAAAAATAGTTCCTTCCATCTCTCTGTGGTAACTTTGTAGCCATTCTCTGTCACGGTCTCTCTCGGCAAACTGCTTCCAACTCCGCTCAAGTTCTGTCGGAGAGATGCTACAGAGAGCCAGACATAGCTCCTTCTCCTGGACCCCCATCCACCAGCTCTCACCAAGACAACCCAAGAGGATTTTTCCCACGCCACCTAGTGCAAGAACCACTCCAGGCAACCGTAATATGGTTTATCGTTTCTTTTTACACATTTTGGGCCTGCATCAATCCCCTTACATCAAATGAGTGTGTTAGAAATGGGTAGTTCCCTGGGGATTTTTTTTTTCTAATGCATGTGTATATGGAGGGTGAGGGGTGAGACACAGAGCAAAGGATCGAGTCTTTCCATTCAGGCAGCCCCATCAAACCAGTCAAAACCACCTTTGACCACCTGCAGAACGCACAAGGTCACGTGGGTTCCCTGCAGCTTCTTAACGTGTCTCCCAGCACACAAGCCCCCGTGGTATATAAACAAATCCCCAAACGCAAAGAAAAGGGGAAAAAAAGAAGAAAAGAAAATAATAAAGAACTCCCTCCCTCCTCCCACAGGAAAAGAATAATCATGGCAACAGCTACAACCCATAATAATAATAAATACGGAACAGCAATTATTACTGCTACCACCGCCACCCGGCCGAGCACAGACAACAGCCGCACTGGGAAGGGACATCCGCGCTGGCTTTGCCGGGTGATAAATCATAGCGCATCATTCGTGCCCACCTGCTTTACCCTTCCCCTCCCCAGGCCCTCCCTCAACAAACAGAACCCCAAAGGGATGGGGACGGACTGGAAGAGGGAAAAGGAATGAAGGATTGCCTCCCCACCCCACCCCCCGCCCCGCGCGCGCCCCGACCCCATCCCAGGCAACACCTACCTCCAGGGTCCGGATCTCCTTCTGCGTGAGGTCGTTGGAAGCTGCACACTTCGTCCTAAGCCCTTCCAGATTGGAGATGCTCAGGTCGATCATGTTCTGAACCAGCTCGCACTGCTGCAAGGCTTTTTGCAAACTCAAAGGTTGCTGTTCCTCGCTTTTCGTCATGTTTTCCTCATCCATCGCTCGCTCTGCAACCCCCCTTCCCCTCCTCCTCCTCCTCCTCCTCCTCCACCTCCTCCTCCCAGAAAGAAAAAAGGGGGAGGGAGGGAGAGGAGGTAGAGGGAGTCCACCCCCCCTACGCCTCTCCAACCACTGCGACTTCTCAGCAGTGTCTCCTGAAGAAACCCAACATCTCACACAAGCTTGAGGGGGTGGGGGTTGGAGGAGGGGACAAGAGCCAAAATTTATTATTTTTTTGGAGGGGGGAGTATCAGGCAGTCTGCATTAGAATGTCCCTTGTCTCTCTCCTCTCTCTTTCTCTGTGTCTCTGGTCCCTAAAAAGGGAGAGATGCCCGTTTGTCAGAAGCCAACCAGGTGGTAGGGTGCAGTCTGTACACTTAGGAGGAGGAGAAAGAGGAGGAGGGCGAGGAGGAGGAAGGGGAGGAGGAGGAGTGGAAGGAGGAGGCAGAGAGAAATAGAGCTCACGCTTCGCACACCGGCTCCGTCAAGGGCGGAATTATATGTATATAAATCTATTTGGCCGGCTGGCTTTTATGTCAAAAAGGAGCGCGCCTGCCCCCCTCCCGGTCGCGGTGACACGGCATGGTCCGCGGGTCCCCGCGCTCAGCGCGCTCTCAGGATGCTGTGCGCACGACTGACGGAGCTGCGGCGCCCACTGCGGCTGGCTGCGGTCTGCTCCCCGCGACAACACTGCTGCTGCTGCTGCTGCTGTCGCTGCTGCTGCTGCTGCTGCTGCCGCCGCCGCCGCCGCCGCCGGGCTCCAGGGGTGACGGCTCCTGCCTCGCTCCACACCGACATCTTGCCTGTCAATCACAGGGCGGGGTGGGGAGCCGAGCGAGGGATGCAGCGCCGAGAGGCGCCGTGCGCGCAGCCGGTCCCCGGGTCCCCCCAACCCCGGGCGCGCCTGGGACCCGCTGGGGGGCAGGCGGCGCGTGCACCTGCCCGCCGGGCCACCCTCCAGCCTGGGAGGCGGGGTCCCTTGGGACTGAGGGGCTCGAGTGCTGAGCGCAGCCGCTACGATGCGGTGGGAGTGGGAAGGGGGAGGGGGGGAGCGGGCTGGTCCCCGAGGTGGCGGGGAGGCCGGGCCCGGGGGCGGGGAGAGGTACTCGATGGCCGGGGTGGGGGTGGGGGCCACTACGCCAGCCCGGATCTCGCGAGACGAGGCCGGAGCGCGGCTCAGCAGGTGCGCGGGGGCCCGGGAGCAGGTGCGCGCCGGGCTTGCTGGGCTCTGCAAGTCTGTGCGCCCCGCCTGGCTTTGCGGGTGTCTTCTTGAGGCTTGGGGGCGGCGGTGGGGCGGTCGGGGGGGGGGGATGAGGGGGAGACAAACCTTAATGGGTGTCCCTGAGTTGGGGCGGATCTGGGGACCACGACTACCTGGGCCTGATCTAGCTAGGGTCCATTGGCGGAGAGACAGAAGGCTTTGCCTTACTCGCGATCGCTACCTTGTCCCACAAGGGCCTGTGGAGTGTTAACTCCAGCTACTCACCCTACCCTTTGTCAGCCGCCTAGGGTACCGGAGTAAGGGACATCCGTGGACATTTTAAAGACGTTGAGGACGGGGAAGGATACTTTGTGACAAAGAAGGGGGAAGATATAAGAAATTCACATTTCACAATGCAGTTAACAAAGTTTTGCTGGAGTGCCTCTGTTACAGATATACGCTTTTTATTAATTGATGGGGGGTGGGGGACAGGGACACGTGCACCTCAGTGTGCCTATGAGGTCAGAGCCCAGCTTGTGAAGTCAATTCTCTCCTTCCACCATGGGTTCCAGGAATTGAGCTTAGATGTCCGTACTGGCTGAATCCTCTCCAGCAGTCTGTTATGAATTAGTAAAAGATATAGCCTTTCTTCTCAGCCGCATTTGGTGGCTCCCACCTTTAATCCCGGCACTAGAGAGGCAGAGGCAGAGGCAGGTGGATCTCTGGGAGTTCAAGTCCAGCCGGCTGGTCTATATAGTGAGTTGCAGGCCAGCCAGGGCTACCTAGTGCTGAGGCCCTGTCTCAAAAAAAGATCGCGTTATAGTTTGGATAGAAGCAGACTGAGATGAATTCCCCCCAGGGGGCTTTATTAGGAGAGTGGCATCCATCAGGAGAGCACATGGACAGTTGGAGAGGCTGCTACCTCACAATTACCACCCACTTCTGAATGGTGGCAGCTTTGGTTTTACCATTGCTTTGGCACCATTGGTTTTACAACAGGGGGCAGCTACTTGCCCCCTGTTGTAAAACCAATGGTGGCAGCTAAAATATTTACTATCTGGCTCACTCCAGGGAGCTATGCGAACTCCTGATTAAATCAGTGTTCTCTATACAAACTCTGCCCAGACCACACTTCACCCCAATTCTCTTCTCTCTGACTTTTTTTTTTCCTGTCGTTCAGGGTGAAGTCTAACGTTATCACAAGGAGGCGGCCCATCTCTGACTGAGTGATCAAATAGCATCCCTAATGAACTGCCCACGGGCTGTGTTTTCAATAATGAGTAGCCTGGTATGGCATGTACCTGAAGTCCCAGCCCCTTGGGAGGCTGAGGCAGGAGGATTGCTTAAACCAAAGGACTTTAAGGTCAGCCTGACAAAATAGTAAAATCCCCTCAGGGGAGGGAGAGAGGGGGGGAATATACTGGCAAAAGGCATCCTTTTCTTCCATCTCTGGGATTCTAGGAAGTTTTGCTAAGAGCAGGGTTAAGAGTCAGAACTTACGCTAAAGTTCGTCATCCCTAGAGAAAGCTACCTGCGATGTGAAGAGAATGGATACCACTGGCAGCCAAGTTGGATCAAATTGATTTTCTAAGACTTTGAGCCATCACGGGCTTTAGAATTCACACAGAGTTGAATCCGTATGTCCATTTCTGTTGGGGCTGGGTGTGTAGTTCAGTGACAGAGCACTTTACCCAGCATGCCCTGGTCCTGGATTCGGTCCCCAGCTCCATACACGGAAAACATTCTCTCTATCCATAATGAGGGCAGGCGACCGTTTTTGAGCACTCTGAAGCCTTGAGTCCCGTTCTGCCACAAAGTTGTCTCCCTTCCTGTTTTCTCCATTTCCCTTTGTTTCCCTTGAACATATTAACATTGATTACGTTCAAACCTCTGACTCCAGCCCCTGACCCCCGATGAGGCTCTTTCTAGTTACTATGTTTCTCTTTGTTTTTAGTGGTCTGACCCTATCTCTTAGTGAGCCTTGTTGAATTTTTGTATCGTGCCAGATGCCGTGTATGAGACATACATAGAGTCTCTAAATGATGCTGTCTGGCCCTGAAGAGAAGTGGGGAATGATCACAACTCCACTAGTTGGCTGAGCCGGGTGAAGGGTGTGTTTCTGTTTCAAGGTGACGCCACCTTCTTTGTTCACAGAGTCCCCTCTCCCTGCCCTGTGCCCCAATCCCCAAAGTATGGCAAGACTTTAAAAAAAAACAAAAACAAAAAAAAAAACACTGTTTTGTTTTTCTGGAACTTCCCCCATGGCTTCTCAGCCTTTTGCCCTGTGGCGTTATCCAAACCCGCCAGTCATCCCAAGCTAGAAAATGCCATTTTCAGACTCATTTTCTGTTCTTCTCTGGGAGATCAACCTCCCAAAAGTCCCTTGTTTGTCCCCACAGGCAGATGAGATGGACACAGGTTCTTCTGGTTTCTCTGCCCCGCCCCCACCACAGCAACAGTCCACTCACCCGGTGAAAGTTTGTCTTCTCAGCCTCTTTCCCGGCACCCGTATCAGCTCACCCACGTACAATTCTCCTGTCTCCGGAATCCCGAAACGTGGCCCCTCTGGTCCCGGTGTCTTCCACAGACCTCTTAAGAGAGAGTTTAGCAGGAGTCAACCGTGATGGTGGGACTGGGTTTGTGCTTGTTCCAAAATGGCTTCTCTGCTTGTCATCCAAGGTATTTCCACTGAAGCTTAGACGATGAAAATAATCGGAAGTCATCAGTCGGCAGAGCAACAGTGAATGCATCTTTGTCCCATTTGAAAACCGCCCACATTGTGGACACCACCTCTCTATAGGAGAAATAACCTCTTTTTAGGATTCACTAATAAATTTGTATTAATCTTTACTATATGTGTTATTTGTGTGTGTGTGTGTGCACAGTGTGCACATATGGGCTGTGTTTCTCTGTGTGTGTAAGACAGAGTGGACACCTTGCAGAAGTCGGTCCTCTCCTTCCACCATGTGGGTCCCGGGGATCCAAACTCAGGTCCTTAGGATTGGCAGCAAAGCCCCTTTATCCCTGAGCCATCTTGCAGGCCCTAAAGTTCTCTTTCAGAACTTTTCTAGCAATCAAGTACCGTATGATCCGACTCTGCCATGAGACACGGCACGTGGGGTTTTTAATGGAAAGTAGAGAGTGGAGAGGAAGCTGATGGGAGCGTGGCAGACAACACACAGGCTCTCAGGTGCCCCGTCCCACAGGAGATGTGATGCCGTGCTGAGGGGTCTGATGTGTTCACAGGAATCACTTACAGTTGCTTTGGGCATCATCCCTGGCCTCACAGCCCAGGCTGTCTCTCTCTAATCTTCCTGGAAAGTCTTTGTTTGTTTTTTGTTTTTTGAGACCAGGTTTCTCTGTGCAGCTTTGCGCCTTTCCTGGATCTCGAACTCACGAAGATCCACCTGCCTCTGCCTCCCGAGTGCTGGGATTAAAGGCGTGCGCCACCACCGCCCGACTTGGAGAGTCTTTCTAACCTTGCTTTGATCTGCTCAGGCAGTCCTAGTGTGTAAGGGATAGATTCAGTAAAAATCTTGTCCCTCCCTGACCCCCCCCCCCAGGGTCTCCCATAGCCTATAGCCTGGAACTTACTTTATGGCAGAGGATAACCTATGACCCTGCTTCCTCTTCCAGTGCTGAGATGTAACCCCAGATGGTTCAGGAGTCTGCAGTGAATTCCAGGTAGGGTTGGATATTTCCTTCCCTGCCTGCTCCCCATCACCTGCAGGGACTAGCAGGAAAGGACTCATCCTGAGAACTGATGGATACAGAGTGTCAGCTGCCTCACTGGGTCCTGCTAGCTGCCCACCTGCTGATCCCAGGTGCACGCAGGGAATCCTTAGCAACCTAAAGATCTGGGAGCCCCGCCAGAGTTAAGACACACAGTGATGACCTCCCAAGTCCTCCTTTCCATTCTGGCCCTTAGGCAGCACCCCACAGCTCCCAGAGCCCCTTGGCTCAGTCTTTTCAGGGTGGCTCAAGCCCAAGCATGCTTTAAGATTGTCACCTGACCCCTGGGGAACAGGATAACCCTGTCAGAGAAACGGCTAGATAAGATCTTGACTTTATCATGTATAGGCTGGAGGTTGTGAGTTACAGACGGTCACCGGACGAGCCTGACCACCTCTCTACCAGAGAGAAGGTTTACCTTCTCCCATCACCTTGGAGGTTCAACAGAAATTCTGGGACACCAGAAAAGTGAACCCCTCCACCCGTGCTTGATTGGTGATGAGCTGGCCTCAAGGTTTTCTAAGTTGCCTTGGGCTCACAAATGGGGGAGTGGTGGGTTAGGAGGCAAAAGGGCCATCCGCCTGGAGCTGCACAGGACCTACATTGACTTCCTAAACACTTCGCAGCCAAGGATGACCTTGAACTTCTGATCCTCCTGCCCCCACTTCCCAAGGGAAAGGATGACAGGCTTGTGCCACCACCACGGGTGGTTTATGCAGGGCTGAGGATCAAACTCAGGTCTCTGTGATGCTGAGCAAACAGTTATGACTGAGCCAGGTCTGTCCCCCCCCCCCCTTGTTTTACTTGAATTAAGGAAATTCCTTAATTTCCTATGTTAATCTTCCCAGGCTGTTTCTTTTTCTTTTTGTACTTTTTTTTTTCTTCCTACCAATTTTACAGATGGAATAGCATCGGACCAGAAGCCCCCGAGAGACAACAAAACCTCTCACAGGGACTATGATCCTGTTCTAACGCACAGAACCCCCAAATATAAATGACTTTAAAAAATAGCTTTGATCAGAGCAAACAAAATGTTCCCCTCTTTAATCTTGTCAGGGTTCTCTGACATCAAGGAAAACTGTTTTTCTAGAGTTCACCTTTCAGGGCCTTTTGCTTCTGCATCTTCATTTCTGGTGTAAGTGGGTCACTGTGTCCGTGTCAGGATCATGTGGGCTCACGGGAATGAGCCATTTGGCCCAGTGATTTATGCTGGCTTTCTGAGTTAAGGACTCCGTGGTATGCCGTGTGTTTCAGCTGCAGCACTCAGGACAGAAGGGGAGCCCTCGCAGCCCCCAAAGACACGCATTTCAACTTCAATGAAAGTTCTTGTCAAGCAGTATCAGCTACACGACCGGTATACCTCCACCTTTCTGTCCCTGTGCGCCACACGCATGCAGTGCCCATGAAGACCAGAAGAGGGCACTGGATCCCCTAGAACTGATTACAGACAGTTGTGAGCAGCCATGTGAGTGCTGGGAATCGAACCTGGGTCCTCTGGAAGAGCAGCCAGTGCTCCTAACTGCTGAACCCTCTCTTCAGCCACACAAGTTTTCTGTTTTTTTTTTAATTTATTTATTCTTGGACAATTTTAGACATGTATATATTTGCTCACAATCACCCACCCATTACCCCCCCCCCCCCCCCCCACCCCCACCATCTTCATTTCCACTCTCTCTTTTCCCAATACGTTTCCTTCCTACTTCCAAATCTTTATGTGTGTAACCCACACAGAAAGGGCTGTTTGCGTGAGCGTGGCTGTGGGAGTATTTACTGGCACAGGGGCAACCTACCCGTAGCTACACCACTTTAGAAAATACCCTTCTTGGGGCTGGAGAGATGGCTCAGTGGTTAAGAGCACTGGCTGCTCTTCCAGAGGACTTGGGTTTAATTCCCAGCATCCACACGGCAGGTCACAACTGTCTGTAAACTCCTGCTCCGGGGGATCTGACACCCTCACACAGACATGCATGCATGCAATACACCAATGCACATAAAATAGAAATAAATTGTTTTTTAAAAAAAGAAAAGAAAATACCCTTCTCGGGTTGGGGGTCTTCTACACCCTTCCCCATCCATAATGGGCCCAGTCTTGTACTGGTCTCAAGCAGGGAATCACCGCTGCTATTGGGTTCATGTGTACAATGGCCGTATCCTCCCCTGCCCTCCTTACCATCTTCTGGTTCTCATGTGTTTCCCGCCCCCTCTTCAACTGAAGTTCCTTGAGGTGTGGAGGCGGTGACACAGATGTCACTTTGGGGGCTGAGTACTCAACAGTGACTTGTTCTTGGGATATTGGCCAGCAGTGAGTCTGCATTAACTGCTGCCCACTGTAAATCGACGTTTCTCTGACCGAGACCGAGGCAACACTAATCTGTAGATACAGACACAAATATTTAGAAGTCAGTTTTGTAGCATGGCCATTTAGCAAGACAACAGGAACAGGTTCTGTCCTAGGGTTTATAACCTCCCTAGCCATGGGTTTTTGACCAGGTTCATAGTGCCAGATATAAATTCTCTCATGTGCAGCAGGCCTCAAGTTCAATCAGAAAACAGTTGTCTACCCCATAAATGGAGGCAGTTTTCTGGCCCAACTGCCTGGCCTCAAATAACCACCACTAAAACTTATATTAATTACAAAATGCTCGGCCTATAGCTTGGGCTTATTACTAACTACTTCTTAAATTTAAATTAATTCATTTACGTATTGCTATGTGGCCATGGCTTTACCGGTCCTCTGGCATCTTGCTGCTTGGGTGGCTCTCTTCTCTCTCTCTCTCTCTCTCTCTCTCTCTCTCTCTCTCTGTCTGTCTCTCTCTCTCTCTCTCTCCCTCCACCTTCTTCATCCAATCATCCAAGTCCTCAGTTTGATTGTTCCCCCTAGCTCTTCCTGCCTTGCCACAGGCCAAACAACTTCATTATTAACCAATGAGAGTAATGCATATTCACAGCGTCCAGAAAGACCATCCCACAGCATGCCCCCATAACAGTGGTACCATGATTGATTATATCAGTAGCATGCAGGGTTGACAGCTGGGTAAGGCTGTTGGTGACTTTTCTTCCTGACAGATTCATCCTACTCTTTTCAACACTGCGAAAGCTAGCCAGCAGGAAGGAAGCTTCCAATTCAGCTCCAACTGGATGCCTCTGTGGCCTGACACCAGAGCATATGATCTCTTCAGCACTAGGTCCTGTCACCTAGCTTGAGTGGGAAGCCAGGAACAATGGCAACAACCTGCATTGTTGGGATAGGGGGATTCTCTGGTTCTCTGGGACTCCATAGTCAACAACACATAGGGAGGTACCCCACCTCTGGCAATGAGATTTTCACTTAATGCTTTATGTCTTCTGTGAGCATCCACCTCCATTTTTTAAAGTATTTTATTTTATTGGCTTTTTGAGACAGGGTTCCTCTATATAGCCCTGGCTGTCCTAGAACTCACTTTGTAGACCAGACTGGCCTTGAATTTACAGAGATCTGCCTGCCTCTGCCTCCCTGGGATCAAAGGCGTTCACCACTACCAGCAGGTTCCACCCCCATTGTTAATTCTTCTCAGTATATCCCCAGGAGCAGGGTTTGGGGTTAAATGGAAATTTTGTGTCAGCTTCTTTAGTGTTGAACTGTTTCTCAGAGCAGATGCTCCATTTCACATCCTCAACCAGCAACCCAGAGAGCCCAATTTCTTCAAATCCCCAGCTCATGACTTATCTTGAATCAAACTATTTTTTTCTCTTATCTTTTTTTTTTTTATGTAATGCTGGATTGAACCCAGGGCCTCATGCATGTTAATCCAAGATTCTACCCACTGAGCTACACCCCAGTCCTGAGACAGGGAGTAACTAAATTTCTCAGGCTGCCCTATTCACTTTATAGCTCAGGCAGTCCTAAATTTGTGAACTTGTGATCCTCCTGCCTCAGCTTCCCAAGTCTCTGTAATTACAGGCCTGGAATGGTTTCACTAATTCTGTTTGTTTGTTTGAGACAAGATATTTCTGTGTATCCTAGGCTGTTCTGGAACTCACTCTGTAGACCAGGCTGGCCTTTAACTCACAAAGATCCACCTGCCTTCGCCTCCCGAGTGCTGGGATTAAAGATATGTGCCACTACCACCCAGCTATTT